GTCCAACTTCTTGAAGTTTACAATGTAACAAATAACGCTCTTAATAAGACAGAAAAAACAACATGGGTCAAATAGCTGCCATTACCCCAATCCTACATTACTGTCATGTCATAAACATTTATTTAATTACTTTTAATGGCAATTTTAATGTTCAAAAGATTTAAATTTACCAGTCATTTTTTTTCAATAGGCATAGATAGGCATTTACACATCAGGGGCAGCTGTGGCTCAGTTGGTAGAGTCAGTCATCTGTCAGCTGGAAGGTTGGGGGTTTGATCCCCAGCTCCTGCAGCAAAATTGCGGCATATGAATGTATGTATGACTGGGATTAGTTACTTCTGATGGTCACTTTACATAAAAACCTCTACAACCAGAGGTTGATGGGTAGGAGTTTCAAAGCACTTTGAGTAGTCACAAGACTAGAAAAGCACTATACAAGCTCATGTCCATTTACCACATGCTTATTATACGTGATTCAACATATTGTGCTTCATCCCCACTTGTCTCAAAGATATTATTACTTGGTCATTACAAACCGGATTTGTGGCTTCTCTTAGCCTAGCTGTATCACGATTAAAACATTTTTTTTTCCTTTTTTAACGAGGGGTTAAAAGAATTAAGATAAGGGGTCAAGAATCAAATAAAAGTTGTCTTGATGTCGGAACAGAAATACTTCAGTTCATTTCATTAATAAGATTGTCTTAGGGCGCTGGTGGCGCAGTGGGTAGTGCGTGCATCCCATGTATGGAGGCTGTAGTCCTCCAAGCGGTCGGCCCAGGTTCGTATCCAATCTGTGGCTACTTTACTGCATGTCATTCCCCACTCTCTCTCTCCCTGATTTCCAACTCTATCCACTTTCCCATCTCTCCAATAAAGGCACAAAAAAGCTCCAAAAAGAAATAAATCTTAAAGATTGTCTTAAGACTCTCTGATTTTTTGGGGAAGATTTGAAACATTGGATTGCTTTGTAGCATTTCCAGCTTGAAGGGGGATCAACAGGGAAGAAAAATAAACCTTGTGACTAGTTTGGACTGAATGTAATATTCAGTGTTAATTACATTATAGACAGTAACTCAGAAACATCTTGCAAGGTTCAACCTTTTACAGTGGATGTTAAGTATAAAAAATAATACAGATGTATAAAATAATATTATTGGTTGTAATTAAGCTATAGGATAATTATCACAAAATTACACAAACAGTACAAAACACTTTCAAAAATAGCCAGACAGCAACACTTCAGCTGTTTAACAAATACTGTAATTAATGTTTGCAGGTGATTGTTGACTGTAGTTGTTCTGTACTCATCTGTCAGTTGTTTTCTTGGGTTGGTGGGGCCACCTTTCATTTATTATTTATTTGCAGGTGTTGAGAGTCAGTGAAAAGGAGTTCACTTATAGTAAGAACATTTTTTTAACAAAGAATCATTAATCATGTCATTAGCTGTAAGAACATATAAGGTAGCTCAGCTCAAGTTCCATGTGTGATTAATATTCTTTTCAGGAGTTACATAGATAGCAAAGCAATTTGCTGTTCGCTTTCCACTGACCAATTTTGCATTATGTCCATATGACAGTTCTTCTCCTTCCTCTTCTGCTTTTGAATCAGACAGCTTGATTATGTTACATTATGCTGATTGCTAGTGGCACTGTTGTGTGTGTGGTACCCTCCCTAAAGAGTTAGTGAACAGTTAAAGTGAAGGTGATGGTCAATTATATGTGTTGATGCAATAACATTTCATATGAAGCTCTCACAAAAGTTTAGTCAGGACGACTTCAGTCTCCACGCGCTGGGCTCATTATTGATTAGCATTCTGCATACGCTCCACTCTTGGATGCTCATTCATATTTTCCTGCAGTCATCAGCTGTTTTTATCACATAATCACATCTATGCAATAGCACTGCAACACACCCTCATTGTTAACCTATCATATTTTTGCATTGAATATTACTTTTTTTTGCGTCCTATACATTAATTTCATCCTTAGGTGCAACCCTGTAAGGTCTCGGGTTTCATCCCCAGCTCCTGCAACTACATTTCCGATGTGTCCTTTTGCAAGACACTGTACCCCAAGTTGCTTCTTCTGCTTTGCAGGCGGCTTGTGTATGAATGGATTATTTAGCACAGGGGAGGCAGTAGCTCAGTCTGTAAGGACTTGGGTTGGAAACCGGAGGGTCGTCGGTTAAAGTCCAGGTGCAGACCAAATTTGGAAATTGGTCTGGTAGCTGGAGAGGTGCCGGTTGACTCCCTGAGCACTGCCGAGGTGCCCTTGAGCAAGAAAACGCTCCACCAGCTCAGCCTGTGTATGTAGCATGTCTCAATTACTGAAAGTAAAATTGAATTTCTCCTGGCGGGATTAAAAAAGAATATCTTCTTCTTCTGATTGACTCTTTATAGCATCCTCTGCCATCAGTGTGTGAATGTGTAGATGTGACCTGTGTTGTCAAAGTAGTAGTAGACTAGAAAAGCACTAAACAAGCTCAAGTTCATTTACTTACAAGTACACTATATGAATTAAGATACAAAAAACTTTATTTAACAGCACCCCTCAGAAAGTATTACAATTTCCCGAGCTTTGGTATCAACTAATGTACATTAGTTTATACAAGGTCTTGACAGCACATAGAAAACAGCTACTGTGCTAAAATGACTTACAAAATATTGCACACACTGTAATTGTATGCAGGAGTGAAAAGTGCTACACCAACTATAGCCCGGACATTCACTGACAACATGGCATTGATGCTTTGCTCTCAGAAACCCCACAGTTGATTTTATATTGCACAAATGTTTAAAGTGTCAAATCAGTAATCAAATAATAGAACAAGATGCAGACAAGCATGTGGCAAAGAATATATACAGAACAAACGTAGTCCATCTTAAAGTATTAGTTGCCTTGGTTCATTTTCTTTGTGATGATCTGAGAGACGCAGAGAAATAAATTGCATGTTAGAGTTGATTTTCATTGCTTTAAAGAAGACTGCTGAACCAGAACGCAGACATATTTTTTCTTTAAAGGACATGTGACCTCCAACTTCTTTGAACACATAGGACACCCTTTATTTTGTTTTGAATTAAATCCAATACTAAATGTGGTGTCAAATCCCAATTCATTCACAAGAGCACATTCACACTCTGATGCACTCCAAACCTGCAGAGGGCGACCACATGCAAAATAAGTTGGTGGAACCGGAAAGTGCTCCTAGAGGGACCATATTCACCTGCGCACCACTGGCAAAGCATGGCATGAAATGTTTGGAGGTAGGTCAGTTGGCCCTCTCACCTGGAAACAGGGCACGACCACAACTCCTGATCAATCAGAAGATGCAACTGGTAGGAAAAACAACTTTGAATGTGGATGATGTGTTGAGGTCATGCTTCTCCATGACTGTTTGGTTGAGTTAGTGAGTAAAATGCAGTTTAAGTTGGACAATTTTGGTTATGCCAATTTAAGCTCATGTATTTTGTTGAAACTTTGTTTGACAACGAAGTAACGGGAAAATGTATTCTTTAGGAAAGCTTTAAGAGAAAATGTTTATTAGAATTGATTTGAGACTAATGCATGTCTTTTCTGTTTATCTTGAAGGTTATCAACCTATTCGATTCCCTCATATTCCATCATTCTCTTTACATCCATTGAAACCATCAAACCCAAAACCATCTTCAAGAAAATAAAAATCTAAGAATGAGAAGAATTGAGTTGTCCTTTGCATCCTTCAGCTGCTGATCAAGCAGTTTTTCAAGTTTGGGCAGAGTTGTGGTCACAAAAACACACAGAACGTGACACTAAAAAAGATTTTGCAGCTGTTATTACATCTGGAATTACTTGTATTCAACAAATGAAACCCGTTTAGAGGCATAAATGCTCAGGATTGTTGCACATACCAAACATCTTTTTCAGTGCTTCACATTGAACATGAACAAATACTGTATTTCTCCAACCTTATTTCCATATTACTGCAATAGTAGGCATATGCACGTGTCTATATTTAAAGAACCAAACAGTAATCTCCAACATGCACCTATTTCTTTGCACTCAAAGTCACTAAACTTTGAAAATACTTTTATGTTGCTAGGCTGCTATGCTACATGTCTATCAAGCCACTTGTACAAAAACACTCAATATGAAGCCATGAAAACATTTTAAACAGAGGAGTTGTTAATTAAATAAAGAACAGTGGCTTGGTCTAAAAGCTAAACAGACTGATACTCTAAAATCATAACGTGCTTTCTCATCTGTCCTTCCATGACGACTTAATCTTTTCTATTAAATACAAACATCAAATAAACATTGTGTTCTTTAACCTAGCTTTGTAATTACAGTCAATACAAAAATGCATAAATACATCTCATAAATACATCTTATCCCTCTTTTGGCACTCTGACCACTTCTCAGTAATGACATTTTACGAGTGACTGCTCAACATAAGACATTGTCCAAAAATATATGCCCACTGTTGAATAACAGTCCGACTGTGCTTTTTCCAAAGAACATTCTTAAAATGATTATTTCTAGCTAGATGGCTGTTAGTACGTATTTTCAGGGATTCATTCATCTTGATAATTTTGTGGACATATCTTTAAGTTGTGTCAACCATCTCACAGTAATTCTTCTTTTGGGTCTGTGAAGCTGTAACCTTATATGGGTGAAGCACCTAAGTAGTAGCAGATCTATAAATGGATAGGAGCCAACTATATGTTGTCAGCAACTGTTTGCTAGACAGAGAGTCTACATGTGTTACGTATACAAATCAGTGTCATGTCATCTTTATTGTTTTATAGTGATGTACCCAAATGGAAAGGAATTTGTGGGCTGTACCTTCTAGCAGAATATAAGCAGCACTGTGTGATGAAGACTTTGCCATTTTGCCCATGATGGCCACTTTGTCAATGATTGTCAATGATTGTGAGATCTTGGTCAGCATGGGTCAGCGATGGTCTGCACTTTGTCAGCCATGTGTGTTGTGTTTCTGTGTTGTCTGACCATGGCTGAATAAATCTAAGATGATCCGCAGTCTGTTTCACGATTTCATAATTGTCCATCTCATACAGAAATAACCCCCACCTAACAATGGCTATCTGTGTTTATGGAAGATAACACAGACTCCCAGCTTCTGCAGGCTAACCGCCTCAGATTTCTGCACATATTGCCAGAAGACAGTCCAAGAGTGTTCCTTTGTTACTGGTCCATCATCTCTTCAAACCAGGGCTGAGCTGATGCAACAGCTGCATTAAATCCACCTGGACTGGCAGGCTGCTTCTCTCCAAGCCACAGTAACACCGCCTCTCTCATTATTAATGATTTCCGGGCAGGGGACTTTGAGGTTTCATAGCTGATGCCTTCATCAGCCATCAAAGTGGGCCACTAGCGATACTACGACAGGTTTGTTGATGTCTGAGGAGGGGGGTCTGGTGACATCAATGGTGGGTTCATATGCGGGTCCCAGTTGGGGCATGGTGGTGGCCGGTTGACCCAGAGAGGCTACCATAAATAGAAAGTCGTTAGTACGTCGGGGGCCAGTGACTGCCACGCCCCTCGTGGCCTTGACGACGACCTTGGAGGAGCTTTTTACGCTGGAGCCTCGTCGAGGAGCCTCACAGCTCAGCAGGGCTTGGAAACATCTGTAAAACTGGAGCAAGCACACAACAGAAACAACAAAAACACATGATCAGAAATGTACTGCACGCCAAAATTAGACATGAGGCCAAAGAGCATGAAAAAATAAAGACCAGAGAGAGTACAGCTGCAATATGATGGTAGACCCTCTGAAAACAATGGTCCACACACAATGAACATCTCAAACATAATTAGTTTCAGAATCCCTCCCCTCCCCCGTCTCTTGTAAACCTTTAGCCAAATTACAAGTATTTATGAGTGATCAGACCTTTCTCCTTTGTCTATTCTCCCATCTGTACCCATAGTGCTACTCTATCATTGTGTTGCCCGCCTTTTCATTTGGAACAATATGCCAAGGGCAAAAATCCTTTTGTAATGTTTCTAAAGTACATCAAACTAAATTAATGACATTCTCTAATCATGAGTATGAACAATTACTTAGTGTCCAATTGGATGTGTAATTCTGTGAATGTGAGGAGGAGAGAAAAGACAGAATTGGTAACAGCCAGCTCCATTTCTTTCTAACAAATTTTGTATTAAGTATTTGTTACCTAACCATCCAAGATTTTCATTTTGTCCTTAAAAAATATGTTAGTGAGGTTTATTTGTAAAAGGGGGCTTTTTTGGTTGATCTTTAAATTTAGGAAGAGTTAACACTGTTATACCAGATAGTTGCACAATTTATACTGGCTATGGAAAAAATTGTCAATGGATAGAGGTTCATATTGTATTTTGATTTGTTTGTTGCTTATCAAACAATGAATATTTCAAGTGTCCCTCTATAGTTAAACTTTTTTAAGCAACAATTAATGTGGCATAATTGAAATTTCCTCACAACAGTGAGTGGAGCTTATGTCCAAGGTTGATAAAACAACATCACACTTGACAGCTTTAACTCTTTACTGAAATGCAAAAGGTAAAAGGGTTTGCTCATTCTTAGGCCTTAACCAAGAGTATAACTAAGTATCAATACCTTTGTCTCATTATACTCCGGGAAGAAGTTCTTGTCAAAGTTTCAAACCAAAACTTTGGAGAATGGCTTGTTACCCAACTTTGCTCACATACTCAAGTTGTAATTCAGACATTTTCATTCAACCTTGACAAAACTTGGAGGCAGACTCACCCTTGCACATTTTCTCCACCTGGAAGCTTCTTAGTACAAGCAGAAACTGTATTAAATATTGAGGTAGCCTCAGTGACGTCACCCATTGGTTTCTGAAGCAGACTTTTGAAGCCCATTGATGGTGGTTGCCATATTAGAAATGCTGTCTCAAACTAACTTTTGGTCAACCTAAAACAAGCAAAGAAGCCTCCTGACAAACACATTATTAGAATAACAGCTCTCTAAGGCCAGGTATACAATGTTTGAACTGAGGCTGTTTCTGACCCAATTTTGATCAACATGACTGGTTTTGGGGGGCAGGATTTTAGCTCCATGGTATGTTGTTTGCCGTGCTGGATACAAGTCCTTAAAAAATAGTACAATAGTATTTACAATTTTACAATAGTAAATCTAATGATCTCATTAAATGTGACCTCTTCTCAGCAGCAAGATTGATTAAGACGGAGAAGGTTATTATCACGTGTTAACTATGTTAATAGATTATCACACAGAGGAGGATTCTACTGTCCAGTTTTTTGACAATAAGCATGTTCAGATAATAAAAAAGCAATTTACCATTAACACTTTTTCCCAAACTGATATAATATTTGATCTGTTACAGGGTTACACCTGACACAAATACTGTATTCTTAAGCACAGAGAGTCAGAACAGCTCCAAACAGAAAGAATGGACAGGCGATCTTCAAGGTACAAAGGAAATGCATTGAAATGTGTACACCCTCTGTCAAGGTCTAATAAATAGTGAATGGACCCCTGGATACATTTTTCAATTGAACAGACCTGAAAGTCTCAGGATTATGAGGATTTCATGCAGATCTTCCTGTTTTACACCAGCCTCTACACATAACAGACCCCCTGTGTTGCTCAGCTCAAAGATCTGAGATCTGCTGATGGACAGATGGAGAGATTCTGAATAATTGAGAACCCGGGCTGCTTCAGAGCATAACAATGCATTCCGGTTATTTAGCTATACTTAAAATTCTAGACATTTCCAACCTTGTCCTGGAAATATTCACACCTAAGAAAGGTGCTGGACTGTAATTAAAATCATTTTTAAGTCCACTTCTGTAGCCCCTGTTAAAATGCCACTCTTGAGTAAACGTAGTATACTTAGTATACTTTCTTAATTTCATGTATACTTATAGTCTACTACATTTTCTCATGAGTGCACAATAAGATGAGACTCTTTCACAGAATCAGGGTGGTATGAAGATAAAAGTCCAGTATACACATTGAAACAATTTCTGCTGTTAATAATAATATACAGAGTGAGAGACATAGGAAAAAGTCAAAGGGTTAATGGAGGTAAAAGTTAATCACAAAACAGTAGTACAACAAATAAATACCAAAAACATGAAGACACCAAGCACATTTGTGTAATTTAGAGCAGTGGTTCTCAAACTGGTACGCTGGTACGCGGACTCGCTGTGGTGGTACGCAAAGAAATCTCCACAATATATAAAAAAAAAACCTGTTCAGCATAAAACAACATTTTTTATTTTTGTCTATCTTATCTGTGTTGTATCTATTGGGTTATATTTATATCAAATGTGTTTTCCCATCTAAATTAATCTAGTTTTTGCAAGAAACAACTTTAATCTGCTCAATTTATTTGTTTCTCTGTTATAGTTCAGTACTGAAACAACAGCAAGCAGCTGTAGGTCTACATTAACATATATTCTGTTGTTTATTGGAGTTCAGCACACAATCCGCAGCAAGCAGCTGTACATTAACATTTTTAAAACGGAGCCAGGAGAAGCTTATAGGGACAGTGGACCTTATCGCTCCCCCTCCCTCTATCTCTCTCTCTGTAGCTCTGAAGCTGATGTGATTCTGCTCTCTTTTGCTGTCTTAACACTCTGCAGGAGTCGAGAGGGATTTAAAAAAAAAAAAAGGCAGTTTTGCTACGTTGAACGCAGAGACTTATAATACAGCGACTCTTTTTGCACAGAGCCTACGGAGCGCGCTCTCTCTCTTTCACCGCTCCCTCTCGCTCTCTCAGGCACGCAGCAATTTTATGAATAAATTAAAAATTAATTAAGAACAGGTCTGAAATATACTTGGGCCCAGGTATCGTCTTTGTGTGGGAAACAATGGAGACTAAATATTTCCAATCAGGTTGTTGGTATAAAGTTGTCATTTTTATTGTGCTGCACTTTTTTTGATTTGGGCCAATGTCAGTGTTTTGTGGAGTTTAAGTGCCAGTTCTAGCGCTAGCCCTTAGTAGTCCCATAGTGTGGCTGCCAACAGTCAATAATAAATAACCTCCTGCGTGTGTAGAAATAGGCCTACAGTGTATTTTAACGTCTACCATAATGGTGGTACTTGGAGAGCCAAATATTTTCGGAGGTGGTACGCAGTCTAAAAAGTTTGAGAACCACTGATTTAGAGTTTGAATGTAATCGTGGATTACAACACGGGGGGGCTTTCGAGCTGATCTCAGACCATCTGTGCTGAAGTGTCACATGGTCTGGGACAGTGCAGTGACAGAGAAATAGCAGGGTGAAGACCGGGTGATGGTTTCCATTTCCTAAGCACGATTACCTCTTGTACATAACGTCGTTATACAACACATGCATGCTTTATGTTATTATGAAGCGTGCTCAGTTGACAAACAGGCGGACGAGAGAAAGAGAGAGAGAGAAAAAGGGACGTGCAGTCGAGTCCGCGTCTGACAGCTACTTTACTGACTTTGCGGCTTATTTTAAGCCATTTTAATCAGACACAGCCATTAATAAATAAAAAAATAAAATAGACACGCGGCCGAGTCCACGGCGAGTCCGTGGCCGCACATCGGAGAACAACACAGAGAACATGACAGCTACTTTGCCATATATTGAGTCATGTTATTCAGATACAGCCATGAAACTCTGGATTTCTCCATAATGAAGGCTTTCAGCGTTGTGTATCCGCGTGCTTGTGCTCGTGCATGAAGTGTACCGTACCGAAGCACACCTCTCCAAAGTGTGCCAAAGCCAAGGAAGTGTACTGTGCCTGAGCACGGCACGGAGAGGTCACACTGGCCAAAGGAACTGGACTTTAGGGTTGAAGCGTGCTTGGGAACGGTACGAATGGCCAGTGTGACCGTGCCCTTAGGGAACTAAATGAAGAGAGTCCATGGAAGGAAGCTTTCAGCTCAAATCACCCACGACTTCATCTGACAATCCTGTGACTTAAAGCTATCCAGTAAACTTCCATCTGCTGCGAAGTATTCTGCAGACTACAAAGTACAGTACAAAATGAAATGATCTGAGAGCTGTAGCCGGAAAAATAATGAGTGCAGTCGCCAACATGTGCACAGAATGACAATTGTCTGATTTCCTTTTGGGATTTCCTGGCACATTCGTTCAATTCAGTGAAGGGCTGTGGTGGATTTATCTTGTGTGTACCCATCAATTCCTCACACTATCAGTCTCAGTTTATATTTCTTGCAGCATCTCATTTCTGAGATTGGGAGAGCGACTGGCTTAATACTTTCTTACAGATTGCAGTTTTTCTTTTGAAGTTGTCTGTGGATTTAAATGATTCTTTGATAGTTAAAAGAGCAGCTTCCTGGAAAACAAACAAACAGCAAAACTTTGAAAAGTTTCTTCATTGTTCAGAACCAAAGTTGATAGGTGCTGCTTCCTTCCACCAACTTTTCTAAGAAACCTTGCAACAAAACAGGACTGCAGTTGCCACCACCACATGCTGCACGGGACCTGATGCGACTGAAATTTGTCCCATTCACTAATGTATTGCAAGCGGCCTCTTTGCTGCACAAAGCGTGCTTGGATACATAGCTATTCTGACCCAGTTGGCAACGCCACTTTTAAATGGCTTTTCAGCCTTATCAGTTCATTTGTAGTGGTATACTGTCACGTAAATGAACCTTGTAGAGCTGGTTTCAT